CCTCCTCTGCTGCCCTGGCTGGAGTGTGCTGTGATTCTCTGAGATGATGTTGGCCAGATCCATTTTCTTCACAGGTTAGACCTACCCTACGAGCTGTAGGTTACTGGCCCTGGTCTAAAAGCATAATGGTGAATTGGCTAGGAGAATTTAACTAGAGGTTGGAACAAATTGTTTGTAGATATTGAAAAAAGGGGGGTATGTAGAGCTGTGAACTAACAGAAGTCCAGTTTTTTTTAGATTTCAATAACTTCTGGATGATGGGCAAAACTCTCCATGGCTTGTAAAGTCTTTTAAAGCTCACTAGTTCATATTTTCAGTGTGTATTAGGTGACTTCTTCTCGTGTTGACTGAAGTAAACATGAAAGTCGCTATAAACAAATAATTAGCATTTATTCATTAATAAACATGAGCATCAGTGTTTGAATTTAACTCAATATAACAGCACTTAAATATAATGGTAGGGAATAAGCTCTTGTAGTGCTGAGGCAACAAAAATGGATAGTTCTTCTAAAGAATAATGTAAACATGATCAAGAGTTGTTAAGTAATAATATAGGAAGGGGACTCAAAACCTGCAGAAAATTGGTCTCTTTCGTTTCTTGAAGTTGTTCCATTGAATGAAACATTTCTGTTAATAAGGAAGAGCCAATCATTGATGATTCTGAAAGTAAGCTAGTTTCAATAAAATCATTTTAACTAAAATGCAGCAGAAATGAGAAATTAAATGCTTGTTCCACAGCTCCTAGCAGCTCTTAATATCAACTTAATTTAGAGGCACTCTTGATTTGTCTCCAACGTTCATAAATTGATAAAGCTAAGACTATTATTACATAAAAGCATCTGAAAAGAAAAAAAAATCCGTTACAAAGTTACACTGTTCTTTTACAGCATTTTCTTCAAAGAGCACAAAATGGGCAATTAAAGGAATAACAGTTAGTGGGCCCTACTTAAATTATTATAATAAAAGAATTTCATACTTAACTTCATCTTTCATCCCCAGGGAGAATTCAGATCAATAGGATTTTGATAAGTCAGCTATCACACACAGAAAGCGAGAACCTCCCCCCCCCCCACAAAGAATCAGTGTTGAAATTAATGCAATACGGCCAGTCAAACATGGAAAATGATCTGATAATTACTATATTTTCCACAGAGAGAAAAATGAATTTCTGCTAAATGTTGTTTTTACATCTAAAAACAGAAAATACCAGAATACTATGCTGAAGTTCCCAAAGGTGCCATCAAGAAATTCATCCATCCAAGCATGTCTCTGCCATTCAAATTGCCACAGAAATTAATATTATGAAGTAGATAGTTCAATAGTCTTCATAATTTTCCAATGGATGTTTGTACAACATACCATGTAAACCTTTGTTGAAAAAGTAGCAGCTACCACAGTTTCAGAGCACACACAAACAATTCAAAAATTCTTCTGCATCCTGCACTAGCTTCCTGACTGGTTGATTAGGAAGAGTGGCCTTGGCCCTAGCAACCCAATGGAACTGTGGTTTCTACAGTTGTGCTCAGCTACTATATGTATGTAGAAAATTGCACTAAGCAAGAGGCAGTACAAGTGTACATCAGATTTTACACAATAGAGTGCTTTATGCAGAAGCCCAGTAAGTACAAACCCCCACAGATTCTAGGTTGTTGCCATTACTTCTATGAACTCAGAAACACATTTCCTCAAGCCTAATTATCAAGAAGGAAATTGATCCAAGTTAAGGACAAGATTCAGAAATGATTCAGGGCTTTGGAATCCTGCAAGCTGCAAACTGAGGCCCACACTGGAACCAAACTCCTTTTTTGCCTCCCCTTCTTCTCCAGGTTTACATGAGGACACTCAGCAAAAGTAAAGGTGAGTCAACTAATGGTATGAAGTCAATGAACACATCTAAAGCACATTAAATTTTTGTGTGCAGCATTCTAGTCAGAAGCAGAGTAACCTTAGCTCACTGTAACTTTATCTGTGAGGACTAAGCTGCTGCTACAGTGATTTAAGGCCAATTTACTTCTGAATGGGAACATTCACATGGTTTAATGTTTATTTAACATCTTTGTATTGATTTCACACCTTTAATTGATTCACCTGAACTTTCCCAAGTGTTCTTTTTTTTATAAGCATTTGGTGCTAGTATTTAAAATTCCAGAACCAGATTTATATTTAGGAAAGAGGTTATGCCATAGTTGATTGCAGGTAGTATCTCAGAATGTAGATGTAGTCTGAAGATAGTCAATTGTTTTAAAAACATGCATTCCAGTCCACCATCTGAACCTCACTGAGCTGTTGTTTTAGCACATTCAGGGTGAGGACAGACAGTGCAACCCCCCCGCATCAGAGTAATTTCATCCAACCTAGTGGAGAGTGCCCCTTAAAGAAAAAGAGAAAAACTGTGTCAATGTAGGTTACTCTGGGTCAGTTTTCATTTATCTGCTTCCATCCTGGGATAGCAATTTTCTATAGGAGGGCAGAGGGGAAGGCTAGTCATCCAGTAAGTGCTTGCCATCTTTAAAATGGATTATCTTGTGTATGCAGACTCTTAAGGAGAGTAGAAGACTGGGCTTTTTTAACTAAGAGTCTGTATCTCATTCAGGTTCAGAGTCTTCCAGCAGCGCTGGCTCCTCAGGATCCCTGTCACGAACGCATCAGCCTCTACAAGGTGCATCCATTGTTGCTGGCATGTCAGCAAATTCTTCAGGCAGCGTTTCCTATACAGAGAATGGGATGAGTGGCCAGGTAGCACCAAGCAACACCAGCTATATCATACTTCCACTTGAAGCTGCAGGGATACCTCCTGGCAGTATCCTCCTCAATCCCCACACAGGTCAGTCTGTCATTTCCCCCATCGTCTTGATTACACTTTAGGGAATCCTACTAAGATCCACACAAAAAAATACTGGTAGCTAGAGAAGCACCACCTGCTGAGTGCTTCATTAGGGGGGAGGTAGTTACTTTTATTTGAAAACTAGATTTTGCTAGATGTTTTCACATCTGGGAGCAAGTATATGTTGGCTTCATATATGTTGACATAGCCAATGAGGAACAATAAAAGTAATTTAATCAGAGATACAATAAGAAGGGTTTGAACCCTGGTCAAACACTATGGGAGAATGGGAGGGTGAGGGAGGAATGGGGGAGAGGTGCCACTGTGGGGGAGCTACAGCTGTGAAAGCAATGCTGTGGGGCTGCTTTTGCTGCTAGAACACAGGGGTGGAAGGGCAATTCTGGTGCCTCTCCTAATTTGTTACTCAGGGCTGGTGTCCCACTCACCCAGCCCTAGTTATACTACTGCATTTGATACTGCACTGTTGGAATCTCTATAAAATAAAGTTCTGATCTTGCCAGGTGCTGCGGTCTTCTTGTGAGAGGCTGAATCCTTTAGTAGTTTCGAAGGGTGGGAGTGGGAAAGGGTGTCAGGATGCTCAGCATTTCTCAGGAATAGGCCGTTGCTCTGATATCTAGACCCAACTGATGTACAATTTCCAAAGCTTTAAAATATAACTAAATAATGGAAGAAGAGAAGGTTTGGATATGGTGTTTCAATTAGCATTCTGGAGTTAGTGTTGTTATCTAAGCCATTTTATTGGCTTACATCTGTATAAGTAAATTGGAAGTTGTAGGTGAAAAGGCACTCTTGTATCCTGGTATCCCTAGTCCTGCTTCTAATTGGAACTACACAGAGGTGAAGTAAGCAGATACATGGAATTATGAGCAAAAAATTAATGTAAACCCCTGCTAACCTCAAAAACAATTCAGTTTGGGTTTGATATTGCAGAAAGGTCAAAAGGATTCTTATTTAAACTAGATCACTTATCATGTCTTCAGATTAGATGTTTAAATAACTGCATATTACAATATCATAAGCCATGCATTCTATTAGCACTATAAAAAAGACTTAAGGATCCTGGACTCTGGTGCTACCTCAGTGACTTGGGTCCATTTCAGTGGCAATGACTGAAGTAGTATCTGGCTCTGGAATCTGCATTCCTCTTTTAGCTGAGTTTAATATGAGCATTAAAAAGCTACAAAAGCAATGTATTGACATTTTCTTCTGTACTGGGAGCATAAGTCTGATATAATTATTCAAAGTTTTATGAATAACAACATACGGCTTTCATTTTGGGGGAATGTTATTTGTAGTGATAGTCACTATTTTCTGGATGCATCTATCTCTTCATGTTAAATAAAAATAGGTTTAGTGCCAAAAAATAAAATTTATTCATGAGTCCAGCACTAGAAATACCTTTGTAGTCAGGATGAGGACACAAAATAAGGACAAAAGGTAAGGAGTCTTAACAAATGCAACAGCTTGAAAAATCCTGCAAAACCAAGTCAATCAGGACTCATAGTAGAGATGATCTCTTTTATTAGACCAACAAGATTTTTGGAAAAAAAATTTCTTTAATTGTAAGCTTTTGGGCACAAACACCCTTTATCAGGCATTGGAGAAAAGATTGTAAAAGGTCTGCTGGGTAGAAATGAAAGTTCATATTTCTTTTCAAAGATTCAAAAGATATCATCTCTACTACGAGTCCTGATTGCCTTTTCCTCTAGGCTAATATGGCTTCAACCTGGATACATAAAATCAAGTGTTCCATAAGCACTTTAGAGGATAATAGCATTTGATTCTAATCAAGATACTTCAGCATATGTAAATGCAGGAAGATATTTTAAAGTTTATATATAGTGGACTGATTTAATGACTTATTCTTGAACACAAGCATTTTTTCAAGCTACATCACTTGCGTGTATATTTTCAAACTCTCGAGTTTTCATACTGGAATTTTGCACTGGAGACAGGAAAGGAAGGAGTTTGAGTGTTTCTGTCAAGAACTGCAGTTTGGAGGGCAGTAGAGAGAGAGCAAAAACACCACCAGCTTTACTTGCATGTTCTTGGTCGGTTGTGTGGTTTACTGACAGCTCTGTCCAGCTCTGTGTAAGAGTGCCTCACATATGTTGAAGGAACATTTTTGTGTGTTCTGTGGTCTGCTTTCAAGAAGCTTTTTTGCACATACTTCAGTATGCATGGGAAGAAGTCCATCCACTCTTCACATGGCTGGATTAAGGAGAGCTACTAATCCTTCCAAACCATGAATAGCAGCTTATATAGAAAGAATTTGGCAAAGGTCTGCCACACATATGACAGCAGAGCTCCTTTGGGAGCCATTCACTATATCTCATGTACAGGTATAGCATCTCTCACTAGCTAACATATGTCACCGGTGTTTAGGGCCTCATTGTATTTCTCACAGGCTTAATGCCTCCAGGTTCCAACACTTGAATGGCATGTCTTTCCACCTTAGCATGCCACTTTTTCTTCAGAGGCATAACTGAGTAGTGTATGAGAGAGAAAGAAGAGTAGTGTATGAGAGAGAGAAGACATGAGAAAGAGAAAGTGAGTGTACCTACTCTATATGTCGTTCAAGGAGGATTTTTTTCTGTGTGTATATTAGCTCTGCTGCTTGCACATTGGGTACCTGTCTATCATTATAGCTAATTTTTAAGTGTATATATTTAAAAAAGGTAAAAGGAGCAATTCAGTTTGAAGTATCAGACCCTTTTTCAGATTTATAGAATCCCATTCTTCTATGTGCTGGAAATAAAAACTTGACTATAGTGTCTGCTGATTTTAATGCATAATACAAATTTGTCATTGTATGCGAAGCCACAAATCTCTGCATCTTATTACAGTAAAATTGGAAAAGAAATTCCTCAGAAAGAAAGTATGGATACTGCAGGATGTGATCAGGCATTAGCGTGATGGGTATTCATAAAAATCTAGATGAGGAGAAGATAATTTAAAGAAAGGAAAAATGAAGCCCTTTTCTCCTTAGTGAATGGATTTTCTTTTCCTGTGTAGCATCACACTTTAGCCTTTTCTTCTCCTCTTGCCATGTGATTATCTTCAGTACTGTGCCTTCTTTGATTGTAACTGCTTGTCGCTTAAAGATTTTATTTCCTATCATACTGTGTAGTCATAGTGACCATATGACCCCATACCAGCATCCAGAGACCCAGTCATCAGGTTGACACATTGGTTTCTCTGGTCAGAAAAATATAAAAACCTCTGGACACCTTTGAACTTTCTCTTAGGTGTTGGCAACCTACCACCTCTATTAAATGCATTTTTTCTGATCCAGAACTTTGCCCAGCTTACCTGCAGAAGTTTTTATTTCTTGCGGAAAGATAGCAACAGCATTTCTACAGTTCAGTACCATTCAATCTATTTTGCCTATTTTCTGGTCTCTCCTAGTGCCTTCTTGGACTTCATCTTCTCAGTATTTAACATATCTCATGTTGTTTCTTTCTTATGTCTTATAATTTTTCTATTACTAGCCTCCTATCGCCCCTTACATCAGGGAAATAATTAATTCCCCATTGTTTGCAGGTGTATCACTTACACTTTTGAAACTCTCTTTTTCATTTCTTGTTGAAAAAATCTTTTCTGGATTCTCTTCTTCATAAATCCCCCTTCTCAAGTCCCTTCTTTATGCTTTTCCTTTCCTGTGCAGTCATCCTTCTTGATTGCAGTGTTGCTTCAGATTCATCTTAGATATCTGTCAGAAATCTCTGAGACTGCTATAGCTACACTCCTAGCTGTCTTCTTGTTCTTTGTTTTAGCATTTCTTTACCCATGGACTTCACTGTAGCATTCCCCCCAGTGGATGGTTTTTGGTTGTTTGTCATCCTTGTTAGCTCCATCATAAATGCTGACCATTTCTGAATTTAATTTTTCCTGTCTCCACTAACATACAAATAATGTTCCAATTTACCTCCTTCACTCTCCAAGCCTCTTACATTTTTCTTCAGATCTGTAGCTCATTATTTTATGGTGAATGCCTTTTTATATCAATAAACGATATCTCCAGGGGCTCACGTAGAAATTTTGTTTTTCATGAGATCGGCCCCCTGAAAGTGTTATACAGCTGTGCCTACATTTTTAAATGTGCATAGCTGCAAAGCACTTTTAATGTGGCCAATCACGTGACAAATTAACCCTCATCAAATGAGGGATCAAATGAAGGGACTTCACTTTAGAATGCCTTTGGGCAGCAGTTGTCAACCTTTTGCACCTTACATCCCACCAACCATTTTGTTAAAAAAACCTGGTTCCACCATGTTAAAAACAAAACCCCACAAAATTGCACTGTTCAAGATATCTGTTGATTCATCTGTCTGAAGTGTAAATAACTGATTTTTTCAAGAGGCAATGAATTAAAGTCCCATCTACATGACCTTTGAGTCTCACCAGTGGGACACATCCCACTGGTTGAGAAACACTGCCTTAGGGAACTTGTGTTTCCTAAGATTAATGTGTGGTGTGACTGGGGCTGGGTTGATACAGCCCCTCCCTGCCACTGGTGCTGTTTGCAGGAAGGGCATGGGGAGGGGGAGCAAGCTGTGGGCTTGGGGTTTGCCCAGCCTGAGCTGGAGGCAGGGCAGGTAGATTGGAGCTCCTCAACCTTGCAGGCCCCCCTCAGCTCCCTTCCCCTCCAGCTCAGGCCAGCAAACGCCAGCCTGCAGCTTCCTTCCTTTCCCTTTTCCCCCCTCCCTCTTACCTTCCTGATGACAGCCGCAGAGCTGGGAGGGTGAGATGGAGGGGGGTGGCTTCTTGGCAGCAGGCAGGCTTCTCAGGCTCCTGCAGATATGCTCAATCCCCCTCCCCACCCCAACAGACGAATGTTTGTTGGGTTCAGGGGGGCACTGTAACTCATGGTATTTTATGTTAAGTGCCATGAGTTGGAGCAGAGGCTGCAGATCTACCAGTACCCCAACTACCACTGCCTTATATCATAGCTGTCCCAGGCACCCAATGGTGGTGTTACTCTGCTGCTTTGGAAGGTTTAAGTCTCCAGGCTTGGACAAGAGAAAAAATCATTTACTGCTCTCCAAGCCATTCCACCCCACACATTCACAAGAACCAGCACAAAACCAGCTTCTCAGGTAATGATGACTACCAGGACCTGACCTACTCTTCTCCCACAATCAGTGTAATCAGCATTTCACCCATTATGAATGAAGCACTTTCCTAGCTGCAGCACTAAGCACCAACCCAGGAAGTGAACAAATTTTAAAGAGAGCAAGGTACATTCCTGCTTTGCTTTTGACCCTGGCTTTGGGTGCCAGACATGAAGAAGGAAGAGGAATACATTGGTGGAGACAGCTTGAGCAGGCAGTAGGAGAAGCAGGAGCTGGTAGGAGATTAACAGGAGAATGGCTGAAGAATGATAGAAAAAATTTCAGATTCATGCCCTGCTTCTGTCATGAATCTTGTTTTGCAACATAGAGGTGACCAGTTCTTTATCTCACTACCAGCCCTCTACATCATCCAGTTCACCTGCATTTCTCTGTCTTAAATCTCCCATTTACTTCCGTCAGACATTTCCTACAGTTTGTTTCTCTTAATCCTTTAAATTTTCTGTTTCCCTCAGTCACACACTCCCAATTGTTTTTAAATTTGTATTTGCAGCATAAGAAAAAAGAATGAAGAAAAGAACCAAAATCATGTGGAAATTTTACACAGGAGAGAATCAAGGGCAGCACCCAGATGTGCAACGGCGTGCACCTGCAGCAGCACAAATTTGTGCCGCTACTTTGTGCAGTAGCACATGCCCCTGCATGTGTGCTTTGTTGCAAGACACTGTCCTGCTTTGGGCAAACTGCCCTTGCCCAGCTCCTCTTGGCTCCCAGCATGCTGGAGCAGTTGTGGCACAAATGGAGAACTAGAGAAACTGGCCTGCAGCCACCACATCTCCCTGGAGGACCAAGCCTCTGTTCCGCTGCATGCAATTGTAGCATGTGCCGTGCTGCTTTATTTTCTCGGGGAGGGGCATTGCTACTGGGAAATCTGAGTAGCAAATTTTCCCCCCATGAAGCAAATTTGCAGTGCAGGGCATGTTTTAACATTCCACATGTGTGATTTGTGGCACCACAAATAGGTTTGTAGTATCGTAAAACAGACGTGCCTGCATGTGGGGATGTGGCCATGGGGTTTGGGTTTGTTTGTTTGTTTGCTTGGGGGAGGGGGGATTTAGCTGTTTAACGGGTTTCTAAGAATTGGGGGAAAATTGAGTTATTGCCTTTGCTATTTAGGTTATGTCCCCCGTCCACCAATTAAAACATGAAAAGCAAAAGGTAAAAGGACTTTGCTGAACAGGAAAGTTCCCTGGGATTCATGAAAAGCTCACAAATTGCATACCATGAATCAAATTTTACCTTCAGTGTAAATGAGGACAAATGTTGTGTGCTATAGGCCATCTCTTTCAAGACATTTTTAGAGTTCTGCTCAATAATTTCCAACACCGTCTTCTCCAGGCCCAGAGGACATTGTTCTCAAAAGTTCTTCACCTAGCTACTGAGTCGTGGAACAAAAATAATTGTAATAGCTTTTCCCTCATTTGAACTACAGTGTTTTACAAATAGTCTCATGGTTTGTCTGCAAATTGCATTGGGATAGGACATGCATGGATGTACTCTGCCTAAGTATTTCAGCATTTACTGCTTCATTGTTGAATAGTTTACAAATAACCATAGTCATACATTTTGCATAGTCATTATAACTTTCTATTCATTTATGCACTAGAAATAAGTACTGCTGGAACAAATGTGTGTTCTGGCAGAATTTCAACTTTATTTGTGTCATACACTAGAGTTCAGGCATCTCCATTTTCAGTCACCCATTTAATTGTTTTATGGTGCTGCAGTTCTAATTCATAACCTCAGTCCCATTTCGTGTGTTACTCTATTGTAAACCAAGGATAAAATGCTTTTACTCTCACTGTGCCTCCATATTTAGGAATCTTTACTGTGGGTTGAGAATTCAGGGGAAATGAACCTGAAATTTGTGATCAGAATTCAGTAGGCACTATCCAGGATATATTTACAGAACTGGTCATTCTCCTGCTATGTGTAGCATGCAAAGCCTACGGTGCTGATGAGCTGGAACATGCAGTCATATGAAGATTTTATCTTGGCATTACCACTCATTTTGGATATGATGTACTGAAGTGGCATTTGGCTCTCGGATAAATCTTCCTGGTGGAAGAAAAATTGTCACCTACACCTTAAATTGCTATTGATGAACATGTATTCCCAGGCACAGCTGCAAAAATAGATAACTGCTGCCTTAAACAGAGGCACTGAGCACTTTATTGTTGCAGATCAATTAAAGCAAGGGAGAGTGGCCTGTAAATACATGGGGGTCTCGTTTCTTTTACTGGCTGCTATGCTCTGAAAAGCATTCTGCAAATTAAGGGTATTTTTTTTTCAGGCCAACCATTTGTAAACCCTGATGGTACACCTGCAATATACAATCCTCCCAGTGGCCAGCAGCCAATTAGAAGCCAGATCGTTGGACAGTCTCAGCAGCAGCCTTCATCCCAACAGCAACAGCAGGTTCAGCAACCACAGCAGCAAATTGCAAGTCACCTTGTCACACAGGTACGACAACTGTTGAAAGGGGAGAACAAGCTTTCATCAGTGCTGGGATAATTAGGTGTGTTTACCTTCCCTGAATAGCTGTACTATACATTTCAAAAAAGCAGCTAAATAAAATGTCAGGGTATTGGGATTTTTCCTTTTGAAACAAATGGAGTCTGAGCTATCAAATATTTTCTTGGTGGATAAAGTAGATAAAGATTTTTAAAATATCCCCCATTTGAGGCAAACTTTCATTTTGGAAATGACTATTCAATTAGGTGGTATATGTCTAGAGAAGCTCCAGATTCCTTTTGAAAAAATTGCCATGCAAGTAAAAGCTATAAGTGGTCTTTTATAAACCGGTCCAATCTGTAATTCTGTAAAGGATTGGGGGAATATTTATCGATGCACATATCTCTATTGATCTTCTGCTGAACATCCTTCTAATATTCAGAGCTTCTAAAATTAAGTTTATTAGCTATTGCAAATTTCACATTTTTATTTACTGTTCAGATTTTCTCTGCATGTGTGCGCATTTGTATGATTAAAAAGAGATGACAGAATTGATAAATTAGCTGCCCACAACTGGTTGGCCATTAGGATCCCTTGCATAGTTTGTCTGTAAAAATGTCATATGGCAGTTCTCACTGCGTGTCCCCCGCTACACAGTTATGTGTATGCGATATAACCTTAATAGGAGTTACATAAGTCTCTTTACAGAAAAATAGACTTAGAAAACTTAATCACCATCACTCCTGATGGCCCCATTCTGGACACCTAGTTGAATGTAGTTTGTGTCCAAATGAGAGCAAGATCAGAAAATAATGTATTGTGAAAGAAATTCCATTGTGAGGTGCAGGTTAGTGTAGTAAAAGCCACAGAAGCTGCCTTTTTAGCACAATAACTGAGAATTTCCTTATAGAAATTTCCCTATGTAACTTCATTGGCCTGAGAGATTTTAGCCCCCTAACATCTACAAAATAGCACTCTGCAGACTTTATGGATCTTGGAGGTTCTGCCACTGTACTCTACTGTGCCTCTGGCCCTTCTCAGTGCTCCAAGTTTTCCTGCAGCCTACAATGAATGGAGCTAGACCACCAGGGAACTTCCTGGCTTCTGCTATTGCTATGGGTAGAGAGTCTGATCCATAGAAAGGTCCCTGCAGCTTAAGGCTCTTTGAACTTTTCTCTGTACATTACACCAAGGTGGCTGACCCCGAGTGTGCCTACCTGCTTCCAGCACATGGTTTCTATGCTATGCAGTAAGCCATCCTGTACATTGTTGTACAGTACTACGATGTATGGTATATCATCTGAGTGATCCAGGTCTGCACATGGAGAATACCTCTACATTCTGCTCCCAGGTTACCCCATGTAAACCCAGAAACCGATCAAGTTACTTTTGGTTTTTACCAGGAACAGATTTTGTCTCAGTAGCTAAAACTGCATGATTCAGAACTTACAGCCTGAATAGTTTTTTAACAGCAAGGGCAAAATAGTACCAAGCTTGTATATGTCTCATCCAAATGAGAGAAATACCTTCAGTGAAGTTTTCTTTACAGAGTCTTTCTTTCTTTTACCTAAATGTATCCCCCAAATTAGCTAGATAATCACAACTTTGGTGGTCATGTTTTAAGCCATCGCATCTGAGAGCTGTATTCCATGTTTCTCCAACTCTAACAAAGCTCTGAATGAAATCAATCATTATTAAAGAAACATTCAAATATATGCTCATGCTCTTTCCTCATTATCTTTGTGTGAATTATATGTGGTTCCATATTTCAGCATTTTAGTACACCAGTAATCAGGAAATAATTATGGTTTTGTTTTAGCTCCTTATTAGGGCTGTCAATTAATCTTCATTAACGTGAGCGATTAATGCAAATACCAGTTAACGCGTTATTTTTTTAATGCGTTAATTGAGCACATGGTTTTGGAATCTGTACCCAAGCCACCCTGTATGGCCTTGCTGCTGCCATCACTGCAACCTGCAGACCACCCCACGGGGCAGCATTAGTGGTGCAGAGGAGCTGCAGGGCAGCCTGGCATGGGCTCTGGGCGGCCACAGCAAAAAAGGCCCAGTAGCAGTGAGGGGGAAAGGTCACTTTTCCCCTGCACTCAGCAACAACTTTGGGCCGGTGGCACCACCTGCCCCCACCAGGCTTCCCCACTGCTTATGCACCACTGCTGCAGCCTCCTGGGGTAAGTGCCCTGCCCTGCCCTCCCTCCATTCCTCCCTCCCTCCTTCAGCCAAGATCCCACCCCCCAGCTGTAGCGCTGTGGCCCCTGCACCAGCCAAGCTCCCTGAGCTCCATGTGGGCCAAATTTGGGGGTGAGGAACCTGGTGGGGGTAAAGGATTGTGGGTCTGAAGTGAGGGGCACCTGTTTTGCGAGGGCATTGTTTGAGATCTTAATTTTCAGAAATCGTTGTTTGTTATTTGTCTAATTGGTGAATTTCAGTTACTGTATCTCATTCTGTTTTATTTTGCAGCCTGTTCAGGCTATGCAGCCATCTTCCCAGTCAGTTCAATACCCAGCAGTTTCCTATCCTCCTCAGCATCTCCTGCCAGTTTCTCCAACGCAGCAATTTTCTGTGGTACTACAGATTTTTCTTTTTTTAATATCTGTTCTTGGTGGGAGGTTGTGTGTGAGAGGTGATTTTGTGTGTTTGTTGGGAGGGAGATTGTCAGTATAGAGAAATGCGGGTTAGTCCATGGGAAGGTGTATGTTGGAAATCTTTCTTTTACTCAACACTTTTGGAACTGTTTGGCTTTTGCCAACAAAATCAGTGAAAATGGTACGAGACTTTGAAATATGCTTTATGCTGAATCTATATAAATTATTGTAGCTCTTTTTGTACTCTGAATCCACTGCCTGGACTTATTCTATGATCTTATAACATATGGATAACAGGATATTTGTGAAAGAGCTGTAAGCCTAGGGGCATGTGATATACTACAAGTCATGACAAAGCACTAATGGGCATGTAGAATAAAATTAATACAGCAGCTCTCTGGAGAATCTGGCCTGGTGCTTAATGGGCTAATATTTTGTTACTGTAGAATGAAGCTGGTATCTTAATAGGCAATACAGGACTTTTCTTTTGGGTTCTGTCTTCCTCTGAAATTCTTATTTGCAACTGATACCCTCAAGCTACAGATGTTGCCACACCATATATGCAAACAGAACTGAATATGCTAGAGGTGCACTGATACATTGGTCCGATATCGTATCGGCACTGATATAAAGAAAATTGATCGTATCAGAAATCAGCCTGCTGTGGCTGATCATTTGATCAATAAATACCCATGTGTGCATGCAGTGCAGCACATAGGCAGCAAGGAGAACAGCCTGGCAGCTTAAAGAGCTGAATGCAGCTGGTAAGTCTGGTGTGGTGGAAGGGGAGGGGGGAGGGAAGAGGCTTGTGGGGCAGATCAAGGTCCCCATGGTGAGGGAGGAGTGGGGCAGGGGCTGGGGCAAACGCTGCCCAGCCAGGGCAGGGCGGACATGGGTTGGAGCCGCGGCTCATCTGGGCGGTGCAGGGGTAGGAAATCGGCTCCCGCCACTGCGCTGCTCATCCAGGAGCTGTTCATCTGGTGGCTCCTGCCACTGCTCCTGCCACTTGCCTGGGAGGGCGTGGGGGGAGCTTGTACCCTCAGATCTGCGCGGGGCAGGGCAGGCTGGAGCTGGGGCTACACAGGGCTCTTCCTAGCCTGCCCCATCCCTCCCTGTACAGATCCGGGGGCACATTCCCTCTCCCCATACTGTCCTGGATGAGCAGCGGGAGCAGCGGCAAAGCTGCCAGACAAGCAGGTGAATGCAAGACCAGCAGCTCCTGAACAAGTGGCATGCAGCGATGGGAGCTTCCTCCCTCCCTCCCCCCTGCATCTCCCAGATGAGCCACAGCTTCATCCCTCGCCTGCCCCGCCCTGGCTGGGCAGTGCTTGCCCCAGCCCCTGCTCCAGCCCCACTCCTCCCTCACCACAGGGACCTTTATCTGCCCACTGCCGTGCCCCTTCCCTCCCCCTCTCCCCTTCCACCACACCAGACTACTTACCAGCTGCACGCAGTTCTCCAAGCTGCTGGGCTGGTATCAGAAATTGAATCGGTATCAGCCAATATGCCTCCTTAAAATCAGAATTAGGCTATGAGAATTAGCCCCAATTATCTCTATTAGTGCACTCCTAGGAGGTGCCTTTTGAGCCAAAATAGAACTACCAACATTTAGAAGAAAGGCCCTGCATTTAATGGATCCAAGAGTGGCATATTCTCTCCAGCCATATATCCTAGAAACTAAAACTGTTGTCATGCAAAGCCAAATGGTTAATTTATTAATTAAATTTCATTTTCATTGTGAATTCTTGTGCATTTTCCTTAGATGTGTTGTTATTAATTTGTATTATTGTAGGGCCTACTAGCCCTCACCATGGACTAGGACCCCATTTGTGCAATCACAAACAAAAAGACAGTTTCTTCCCCAAGGAACTTATGGTCTATGCCCTTGTTTGCAGTGATTTCCAATCATGTGAATGGAAGCTGTGAATGCTCAGCATTTTTGGAAATCAGGCAACTTACCTAGGTACCTGTCTTTAGGCTGGCATTAACTTGAAAGGGACTACACAATTTGCACAAGCTGAGGATCTGGCCCAGAGTTTTGAAAAATGTTGGTTTATGGTGTTTTGTTCACAAAGAGAATATAGATTTAAACCTTAAGTATGATGTGTCCACATCTGGAGTAATGAGTTCAGCTCTGGTCTGTGTCTCAAAAAGGATGTAGTAGAATTATGCCCCAGCTACGTGTTACCTGTATTACACAATTAACTGGTTAATTGCACAATACATTTAGACTAGCTACATGTGCAAAGTAAGACAGGCCACAAGTTCAAAGTAATTTTTGCACAACTAACTGGTCAATTACACAATAAATTTAGACTGACCATATATGCAAAGTAATTATTACACAATAAAAATTACTATCCAGCTATAATGAGAGCCAACCAGCTATAAAGTTAGTACTTGAAAATGTGTAACAACTGGTTTCTATCCAGCTTTAATTTGAATGTGTAGCTTCCCCCCCCCCAGGTACAGATAAGGACAATCAAGTTGGTCAGAGGTATGGAGCTCCTGCCATACCAGGAGAAACTAAAAAAGCCAGGATGCTTCAGTTTGGAAAGAAGAAGCCTGAGAGAGGATATGATGGAGGTCGATAAAACCATGAAGAGTGTGGGGAAGGGAACAGGAACCTGTTATTCACCACGTCCCAGAGTACAAAGACTAGAGGGCATCCACTGAAATTAGCAGGAGATGGGTTTAAAACTAACAAATGAAAGTACTTTTTCATTTGGTGCATAGTTAACTTCTAAAACTCATAACCACAGGAGGTTGTGAAGGCAGATAGGATAGCTAGGTTCAAAAAGAGCCTAGGCAGATTCATGTGCGACAGATCCATTAATAGCTAATAAACAAAACAGTCAGGGGTGTGTCATCTGGCACCATTAAACCAACGATGGTTGATGCCAGGGAGAGTGTGACAGGGATTGGATTACACTAGTCATGTTCTGTGTGTACGCTCTCCTTTAAAACATCCACAGCTGCCACTGTCAGAGACTGGGCTAGATGTCTGACCTAGTATGACATTTCATATGTTCTTATGAGATTTCTGGCTCAACTGCACATTGAGAAATTGACTTTTTAGAAATAGTCTGTTTGTATTCATTTAAACTCACTTTTTTTTTTCCAAAATCCCCGCCAGTAAATATGTTGAATATTTTCCGGAAGTGACACAATAGTAAAATTAACACAATAAAATAAACCCATTTAAAATGAATATGAATATATATCAATATCTGAATTCAGTGTGTTTGTCTGTTTTGGTCAAAGTGAAATGAGTAAGGGGACAAATTTTCATGTTTATGTACCTGTAGTATAGTTGTATTTCTAGAGAGAATGTGGTGTTTGAATGAAGGCTCTTTCTGGATATTTGTATCTGGAATACAAGCATGTCTTAAGACAAATGGACCTACATGTGCAGACAGAGATATGTGTGAAGATGTAAGGACAATAGTAGAGTTTTCTTGAAAACATTAGGACTCTGGACAGACATAAATACCCACTCAGATCTCTTTGTGAGACTGAGGTCTAAACCTGTATATGGATTGTGGATGAAGCTTGGCTTTAATGACTTCATTTCCATTGACTTAATTGGGGTCATATTTTATATGTTCACTTTGGTATACTGGTTCCTACCCCAGCTGGATTTTGTCTCCTAAACCACTAAAATGCACATCTCATCACCTGCATAAAATATCTTTCAATAGCAGCTGGAGGCGTAGCTATTTTTGTCTAATACTGTATTAAATATATGGGCTAGGGTTTTCAAAAGTATCTAAAGGTAGTGAGGCACCTATTTAAAGCTCACTGAATTCCTCTTGGAACATTTGGTAAATCCTTGCTATGCTCTGTAGAGTGTTTTGCTTAAGAGAGTCTGTGCAGGTGACTGGCCCATGCTTGTAAAGTAGGTTTCATGCCCTTTATGTTGAAAATATCTGAATTTGGAAACTGTGGAGCTCACTAGCCTTTAGAGATAAAGGGAACATCAAAGGATTCTAAACAATAAGAAGTTGCTTTTTTATTGCATGGAATAGTTTATCTTATGGTCTAAAAGCATCTGTCAAAAGGTTTGCAGCATGTATGTGCATTTTTTTTATTCTTTCTTTCTTGTTGTGGATTACCCTGGGTTATTTAGTATGTGAATTTCTCTTGCATCTTGTGTACGTATTTGTATCTGGCTTTTTGTTTTTCAAATGTCTACTGCAGAGAGCTACTGCAGAGTTTATCATTTTCCACTGACTTTTGCCCCACAGCGAGATGACATGACAACACAGTTTAACCAGATGAGCTTAAGTCGTCAGTCATCAGGAGACAACCCTGAGTCGCCTTCAGGTCCTGTCTACCCATCGCCTATTATACAGCAGTCTGCCCAGCAGACTGGTTACATCATGGCTTCTCCAGGTCAGCAGCTTGCCCCAGGAGGATTTACAAGTTCAGGTCCACCAGTATCTCAACAAGTACTGCAGCCTCCACCACCACCACAGGGCTATGTACAACAGCCACCGCCTGCTCAGGTAAGTAGGACTTTTCTCTGTCTGCTAGCAATTTGGCACCTCATATCAAAGGCAAGGACCTTTCTATAATACCCTGAAGGGAACATGAAGTACAGAAGCTTGTATAACTGGAGAATATTTTCTCAAGTAAATCACATTTAAAGTGTAGCAAATTCGTAAGCAATGGGAAGTTTATATCATTTCTACTGTTTCCTGGATTATAACAGCTCCTCCCCTCCTCCTTCCCCCTTACCCTCCCCACCATATGTTTGTGCTCCACGATGCATCTGCACATGAATATGAAGGAGGAAGTTGCACAATTATTGCTAGTCCCCTTTTTCCTCTGTGTGTGTGCATGCTGAGTGACATACACACTAGCTCGGGTAGCCATTAATCATATTTAATTGACTTGAACATGTGAGATGTTGCAGATCAGTAATTTTTACCGTCTTCCTGAACACTGATTAAGTTTTACTGTTCATGACCAAACATCCTGGGATGTCTCCTGGGTATCCTCACAGAATATTGAAAGTGATTACTGTCATGAAACAAAATGCACAGTTTATTTTCTTGCCAATTTTCATGGTATATGTTTTAAAGTCAAATTTCCAACTATAGTAAGCTGCATTTAACAGTGCTGCGTAAAGTATAGAAGTGCCATTAATTGCTTTTTAAATTTATTTTCATTTTATCCTGTAGAAATGCAAGTGTTAAAAAAATTTCTTTTCAAATCCATTACATGATTTAACCTGTAGTTTTATTTCTGCTCGAATTATTTATTCATACTCTTATATCTATAATTGTCTCTGTTGCTGTGTCTCTGCATTGCTGTAATAATAAAGATTCTGGTCTGTTAAAATGTTTTTAGTAGCCTAGAAAAACCAGTGCCTCATTATTTTACTAATTAATTGTAAAGAAAATTAGAAGGTAGGCACTGTTTATGCCAGATCAATACAATGGCTGGCACATGTTCCTAAATCTAGATATAATGTAAGTAATTTTTTTGAGCAGAAAGCTTGTAAAAAATATTAGAGCTAGGTAAAATACAAGTTTGCTCTCCTCACACAGAATTAGCTTGTTTTTGGATAGCAAAATCTCTGCAAAAGGGACTTGTAAATGATTTTTTTATATAAAGCATGAAAAGTGATAATTTACAAGTGCCAAGATTTGTCAAATGTCAAAATGGAGGCTTTTGAATTTTAAAAGAAATTCCATAAAATTGTAATGCCTTTTTTCTCCTTCTACACCTGATTTACTCACCCAAGTACATCATCTAAATGACAAAGAACCAAGTTCCAACTGTCCAGTCTTCTCTTCCTTTATTTATCACCTGCTTTCCTTAATATATCCAGGTATTGTTTAATCAAACTTCACAACACTTGAAATGAACTAGACAAATAGGAGCATTTCTCTTGTATAAATTGAACCTCAGAGAACCTTAGTGATATGCTTCAGAGCTATGCAGTGAATCCATTTGAGAACCAGGATCAGACATTTCTCATGTCAAAAAAGCTTGCGTCATCTCTACTAGACCACAGTGTGCTCCCCAGCAAGTCATTTGACCTTTCTAATCCTGGATTTCTGAATATGTGAAATAGGGATAATACTACTTACTCCCTTGATACATATGGTGGCTGTGAACATTACAAACCTTTTTTAAATTTCACCAGTGACAAAAGGCATTACCGGTATTTCAAAATTCCTGGAGCTGAGCACAAATAGTAGAAGGATCAGGATGTTTCATTCTTATAAATTAACATCAGGATTTTGTGTCAGGAGACCCAAGTTCTAATTCTGTTTTTGATTTGACTTGCTGTCTGGTATTGTGCTTGTCATTGAACTTCTGAGCTTTACCTTCCCTGCAAATGACTCGGAGGTGCTAACACTTACCTCAATGGGGCACTGAAAGATACAGTTAAATAACAAGTGTAAAATGTTATATAATACCGAATAATCAGTGATCATCCAGAGCCAGTCCAAACAAAGTGCAGAATTTTCCATGGTGCATCTGCCTTTCTGCCATGCCACTTCTCTCCAGTTCCCATGGGGAGCCCAAGCATTCTTTGCTGTTGTCCCTTTGTTGGGTGTTTGGAGCCTAGTGTCTTGGGTTTGTGGACCCACACTGCATTGTGGAGCTCCTCTTTAATCCATATGTATTAAGAATTGTGGAGAATATGTGAGGAAGATGTTCTTGGCTCACAAAGTTTTGGTCATTTCTCCTAGAGGTTGAGAAGAGGGCAGATAGCAAAAGCACCAGCAATGGTTCCTCTGTGGATTTTGCCCCCTCTTCCAATTTTCTCTTTCCCAGTTCTGAGGCTGTGTTAATCCCCTACAGACTTGACATGGTCAAAAAAGAGGGGAGAAAGCTATCTATTTTGTTTGCATCTGTCTCAGTCCCTGTACTGTGTCTTCACTTTACCCTGGGTCATTGGGATGGCAAGCAGTTATGTTTCAGTGCAGGCAGACTTCTAAGCAGCCTTTAGACCCCTCTGAACATTCAATATCTTTAGTTTGTCACTCCTTCAGGGGATCCCATCCCCACCCCAGAATACCAATCCCTCAAGCCACTTTGAGAGGGAAGGGAGCACTGTGCATTTCGCTTTTCGGGAAAGACTGAATATTGACATCTCTATAACAGCTGTTGCTGAGAGAATCTCCTCCTTCACCCCTCACTATCCTTCTACAACCCTGGCTTCTGCCTGGACTGCCTGAAGGCCTCTGTGGCACAAATTACCCGGGTCAGGATTTGTCCCATTTTGCTTCCCTACCATATGCACGCAGTGTCTTCCTAGCTATTATTGTCTGTTCTATGAAGTCGTTTCTTCAGGAAGTCTCAAGATGTGAATTGGTGATCTAGGGAGAAAATATTTGTTCTTCTGGTATAGAAGGAAAGAGAGAGAGAGAAAAACTAAACAAGCAGTTAAAGATGTGTATGCATACAAAGCATTATGATGCAATAATCAATGCAATGCAATCAATGTAAAAGCACTTTTAAATTGTAGCACTTGCTATTGAATTTGTATAAGTAAAACAGAGGTTTGACTCTGAATGGCTGATTAGTTCCTGTAAATGCAGTGGTGGCTGGATTTCTAGAAGATTAGCTCTGGTATCATAAATGCCACTGGAATATAGGAAGGCAATGAAAATTTGGGAGCAGGTCCAGCAAGTACAAACTTCTTTCTGGTGAAAGAAATAAGATGTCTAAACCTTCAAGCCTAAAGATCTCTTGCACTAAAATATTAAATGATATATTAAAATTTCATTAAAGCTAGCTTTACTGCTGCTTTCCAAGGCCCCCATTCCCACTCTGCATCAAAGTAGGAAGAGACAGATTTTAAATAGAGACGTCTAAGAGGGGAAACACTTATTCTTACTCCTTCCTCGCTGTATATTCTCAGTCTAAAAAACAGACTTATTATTTAGTAACCCAAAAACAATTCTGCTCAGCCTTTCACTTTTGTGCCATCCTGTGAGAAACAGGCCATTTGGTAAGAGCTGTATGTAATGATTTACCTTTGCTTTTCACCTTACTAGCGACAAATCCCTACTTTTCTTCCCATATCACAAAAAATATCTTGTCTATCCATTCAACACTTTCTTTTCAATGCTGACTGCCATTCTTTAGTTCTTCTTGCACAAGCATCCCAGTAAAGGACTAGACTGACATGTTCAGCGAGTATGTCAGCAGTACCTCTCTCTTGCCCCTCACTAAAGGCATAATCATCTCTTCTGCTGGCATCATTTTGGCAGTGAGTGAAGGGAATGTGCTCCTGCCTCCACAACATCATCCCTCATAGAAGTATGAGTATAAGATTAACAGATGAAGACGACATAAGGCTTAGGTGATGGTATTTCTCCACACACTCATGGATCCTCTCTGTAGGTTAGCGGGGAGTCTGCACTAATTTAAGTTGGTTTTCATTGCTGTGGAAGTTTGTTGAAAGGTGGTCACCAGAAAATAAAAAGTTTGCTCATACCATGCTTCCTATAGGATCAATACTGTCAGGGAAGCCAAGGGGTAACCTAGAAATGGGAACTGTTCAGGCAAGCACAAGTTTTTATGTACACCTCTTACCATCCCACACAAAGGACACTGTCATGGGTCACTATTGTTTTGCCCTTACCATGGCAGTATCCTCTAAATCAAGACCTAGTCAAGACAATGCGGTGACTGGGAAGAATATGAGTTTCAGAAAATCTTACTAGCTCAGTGCAGATCCTGCAGACTGCCTTTTTTTTTAGAAGTAACTGTTATTAGTGATAACGGGAGTTACACAGATTTCTTGAGAGAATTTTTTGGTCCATCCTCAATGTAAGCATTGCAACTGATTTTATTATCAGTCTAGATGAAGGTGTAAAATCAACCCTGACCAAAATTGTTGACAAGATGTGGAGGACTGTATGAGAACTTGCATGAGAGCAGAATCAAGTTGTTAATTGATACAGAGAGCGATATAAGACAGTAATTGAAGTAATAAGTGACTGTTATATCATATATTCTCTGTAGAATGAAGAAATAAACAGCATTTCTTCAAATTTGGGGAAGGCTATCTTTGAGGTAGTATGAGAAAGATCCTGGGTGATGATAAACTAGTGAACTACAGATGAATTGAACAAAATAGCTATTGCTTTTCTCAGACTGTTATTTCCCACTATAGAGATGGCTATCACATAAAATGGGAATAATAATAACAACAATATTAACAATGGCCCGTGTGTCTCTGCAATGTTATGCCCAGTTCTGGAGCAATTTAGGATAATGCTAAAGAAGCTAAAGAAAACACTATAGGGAAAACGAGTGGTATCTGTGATTCTGTGAACGCCATTATTCACCCAAGTACTACCATAGTGGATAACTCTCCATTTGGTTGGGGGAAGTATGTCTGTAAGCTGAAGGAGAGCTGTACTGAAGACAAATTAAAGTATGTCTGACAAGATCACTAAATCATTGAGCCTACTTTAACCCATCTCTATATTCTACATCAAGCCATTTTTTATGTCTAGTCTCTTAACAAAAATATCTATTCTTAGCAAGTCATGCATGCCTGATTACCACCAAATTCATCCATTAATCTCCCTAAATTAAATGATTTTCCACCTAATATTCCATACCACCAGCAACATTTTTCAAACTGATAGATAGCTGCACTGATAAGCCACTAAATAGAGTATATAATAAATGTATTCAGTTCCACTGCATTAAAAAAATCCCTCTGGCTAACTGTAGATGAAGTCTCAGTCTGTTTTATGTGCGTTTTCCACTTAGTGCATATTTACACATTACTTTGAAAGTGTAAATTGTTATTTATGTGCTAAATGCTATAGCAGTTATGACCTAAGCTGAACAAATACAAGTACAAATTTCATTTCAAAACCTAAATTGTTTCGGCTTCATTTTAATTTAATACCTACACACACTCCTTGCCATGAATAATGGCAAGCAGCAACCCATATTATTCTCTATTTTTTAATGTCTAAGTGGCTTGTCTGCAAAGAGACACAGGAAAGTTTAGAAAGATCAATTCAATTAAAGCTTTAAAAAATGCTTAAACTACAGTGAGCTAAGGCACCTTTATTCCTGAATGAGGATTTCACTTAGACTCAACACTCGTAAATTCATATACATCAACTTTACATTTTCAGTTGATTCCCTGATAACTTTCCTGAATGTTCCTAAATGGACAGCTGTTTTTGTAATATGGTCTCTTTTACCTCACTAAATTTACCATGCTTCAGTAATCCAAATAATTTAAACTGAAATCTTTGACTCTATTCAATTATGCAATCTTTCTTTACATTTGATGATTCTTCCCTGACCACCATCATTCTGTAGTTTTATATAATGGCCTTTCCTAGTGTTGTGCTCTTTGGAGATAAAGATAGGTAGGTAGTTCAGAGACAGGCTATAGTTTCTTTTTATTATACAGAGATGGAACAACTGAAAACATGTTCTAATTAAAGCATTCAGGCCAGATCCAGACATGCAGGCACATGCGGTTTGTGGTGCTGCAAACCTCTTTATGGTGCCACAAACTGCATGCCTTGCATGTTAAACCATGCATAGCACTGCTAATTTGCAGCATCAGGGCAAAATTTGCTAGCGCAATTTTCTGGTAGCAAAAAAAAAAAAAAAAAAATTGAAAAAAGGGGTGAAAA